GCCTAAAAGGGACCGTGCATCATGTTTTTGTTTTTTCACTCTTGTAGGATAATTCTATATCCAATCATTCTTATTGTTCATCATGACAACTATTCAGAGTGAGCAGCTGGCCAAACTATTCCATGATAGAGGTACAAGTCATGGTTCCATTGTTGAGTGTTGCATGTAAAGCAGGGATTCCCCCATGCCTACAGATGAAGAATATAGTGTATCCTTCCCCAAATTGCAGCACTTGCCCCTTGAATATGGAATGAGTTTTCTGAGAATTTACAAGTAAATCAGTTAATTAGTTTGATTTAAAATGTGCCCTTAAAGATTTTTAGCATCTTGTCAGACCGTTTCCTCCTACTGTCCACCAAATGCTTTTAATGCAGACTCATCAGCTTCCCATATAGTCCACACTCATTGAGCATTTGCCACATTTGAAGACATTTTTTAGGCTTAATGATTTCCCCCCCATTATTCTTTGCAACAGAATGTTCCTTTTTCAGTAGAGTTGGATTAGGAGGGTTTTGCAGGGAATCCCACACACAATACTGCCTCCTTCCACACTTTCTGCCATCTCCCATTGTTCTCAGTAGGAATGGGGCCTCGCTTCCATTGCAGCAACTTGGCTTCACCCTCACTGGGAACAGCGGGAGGGGCGTGGCCATTTTGTAGGTGGTATCTTTGTAGCCTCATTTCCACTGAGAACAATAGGAGATGGCAGCAGGATGATGAACTCAGAGATGGATATGGAACTCTCTGTAAAGAACCTGATTTGTCAGTCCCGCTGAAGAAGCTTTCTGGTTATGAAGTATAGCAGCAGCAAATACTATTAATCCAAAAATTATTTTAAAAAATTATCCATTTCACAAGATCTACCAACTGGGCGGGCAAGAGGAGAAACATGGGAGGTGCCTTGCATGCAAAATCGGGGGAGAGGGAAACTGGGGTGTGTGTCTGAGCAGGGACATGTGGGACGCAGAAGTGGGGGGAACTGGGATGTGTCTGAGCAGTGACACGTAGAGGCCAGGAGCTGTGGAGAAATGGCCATTATGCTCTGCCTGGTCTGTGTTAATGCAATGTGGGGTAAAGCAGCCAAAGTGGCCTGGTGAATCTGACCCTAAAACTTAACATTAAAAATAGAAAAGATTTAAGGGTGTTGACACTATGTTCAAATCATTAAAATTATTCTATGGTAATATTCTGTTTGCATTTCTTGTTTAGTGTTTATGTATGGCAAGTTTAATAAAAAATATCAAGGAAATTCCCAGGTAAAAATCTGCTCAAGTAGCATTAAGGTTGAGAGTAGCTATAATTAATTTAAGGGTAAAAACATGACAAAGATGTTACAATTATCCCTAAACTAAGCACTACAAACCCAAAAAAAATCAGAGTTAAGGTTAAAGAAAGCAAAAAATGGTAAAGTATGGAAGTGAGTAGTTAAGGCACCCAAACAACCTTAACACCAAATAGTAGTGGCACCATGAAGGGGAAAATAAATGAAAAAATCTAATGTCTTTAAAATCAGTTTAATCTGATATGTGGCTATAAACACTACTTAGCACTAACCATAATTGTATAATTATTGCATGGCATTACTACTGAGTGAAGCTGAGTTTGTTTGGATGTTTTTACTGTGCACTTCCAGACCTTATTATGTTTGGATTTCTTTTGCGTTTAACCTTAACTCTGAATTTCCTGGACTTGTAATGCCTGTTTGGGGAATACTTACCACATCCCTGTAATGTTTATACCCTTAAGTTACTGATATGTACCCAGCCTCAACTCCAGTGGTTTTCTTCTGGCAATATAAAAACAATAGTACTTTGCACTTATATAGTCACTTAGATTCATACAGTACTTTGAGAACTTTGGATCAATCAGTCTCTGCATTTTACAGCTAAGTAACACAGGCAGAGAGAAGCTAAATGAGTTACCCCAAGTCCCATGGAAAATCAGTAGAACAATCAGGAATACAACCCTAACTCCCAGTCTCCTTCTCGAACTACTAGGCCAGAATACTTTCTACACAGAATTTACCATACTGAATCAGGCAGTTGGCCCTTCAAGTCCAATATCCTTACCTAATGCTTCTGAGGAAGGCAAATCAAACCCCTCCCCCTATAATGGACTTGGTCAACTGTGTAATATTGAACATAAGCTTAAAGACTGGCTTTGGTATTGTTATTGTCTATAAAACTGCCCAGGTCCCTTTTAAACTCCATTTGACTTTAGGAGCTTTTGTGGTAGTTGCCCAAGTGCTTTGAAATCAATCTGAAAGCATTCTGAACTTAGATTCCAAGATAAAGGGGCTGTGGCACTTTAACTGCTGCTTTCCCCAGTTCAGATTAAACATTCCTATAGCTGAATAAATTCTGCAAACATAGACTAATGACTTGCTTAATATTCATTATTTTATTGAATAATTAATTACTAATGTATTATTTGTTAATGTTAAAAACACATTGTCTCTAGCAGACAGGGGTTTATGGGAAGGAAGAAACAAACCGGCTTGATTTAGACATTATTTACTAAATGAGAACATTCTTATGTGGCATTTTTGAAAACTGTGACTCAACTGTATGTTCTCCTCTATATTTGTCATCCAAATCTGGAGCTTTTATACCATGTCCAGAATAGATCTGCTCTAACCTGTTGTTTTTGCAGGGTTAGTTAATGACAGCCCAAGTATATAGCCCAGGGTTTGGCTAGGTCCGTTAATTTTTTCTTCTAGTTCCGATTGATGAAAGAAGTGTACCATTGTACTTAGTAGCTTGAGTTGCAGTTGATGCATGTCCACTTCCCACCCCTGTGAGGCATAACTCTGAAACTCGCTTTTCCCACTGGATGGGGGTGTATGCTGCATCAATCCTTCACAAGATGCAGCATGCTCCCCCTACATCTTGAGTCTAGAGAATTCTGCCCATCCCCATCCACTTGCTCATTTTGGGGAGCACCACACATATAGCCCCTTTTCTGCTATCCACATCAGGACCCAATATCCTCTGGGACAAATCCTGCAACTTTTACTTACATGAGTAGTCCAAGTGTAATCAATTTGGGATCTGCTATATGGGACTTTGGGACTGACCTTTAAGGGTGCTGAGCACCCTAGCTTCCAATGACTTTTACGCCTTCAGTGCTGACTTTCGGCTCCTACCAGGAGAGGCTCAGCTCTTTACAGGACATGGGCTTTAATTCCTGTACACAGAGAGATCTACGTATTCAGTGAGTAAGGCAGGCAGGATGGGGCACTGATTTGGCATTACTATCCCAAAATGCAGGAAATATCTCAGTTGCACTTCAGATTTAGCTCTGTTCCTATAGAACTCAGAACCACAACTTCAATGGACTTCAGTGGGCCCCCAGGATTTGACATTTACGTACCTTAGCATTCAAAACTGGGCATTTGTCATAGAGCAAATTCCTTTGTTAAATGAAATTGATTCTCCCAGCTCTCCCCCTATCGCCTCATCAGGTCAAAACAAATAGTCAAATTCTTGAATTTCATATAAGCAGGTTTAATTGTTCAGATACCAAAATAGCACAGGCTAGAACCTTCCTGTCACTGTCTTGCTTATTAGTAATGATGCTTTTGTGCCCTTGGTATCACTTTAAAAGTACTGGATTCTCCAGTGAGTAGGTACAAGTTGGGAAGTGGGTGGGCACTGGAAACTATTTCCAAAGTACCCTTTATTCTGGGGAGAACTGAATGCTGCCTCTGCACTCAGCCTGTGTGCTAACTCTAGAGGGCATACATACCTACAAGAGAAACTGACTGAGACTGAACCCAATGGTGTACTGCTGTTAAACAGTGTGAAAAGGGCTTTATTTTCTCCAGGGCCTAATACTGCATCTAGGATGTGCACACAGGCTACAAAGCAGCTGCACTTACTTTCTTATCTCACTTTTCAATCCTGGACCTTGTCCAGGTTGAACAATAGTCACTTAGTTTGTCTATTTTCTGCCTACCGGAGACAATGGGAGTCAATATTAACCCAGTTACTCCATGTAGATCAAGGACAATTAACAAAAGCAGAAGAGGCCATGGTCAGGAAGCTCCCTTTGCAGAAAGACTGCAAAGGCCATTTACAGCTCCTCTGTCCCCTGCAAATGTCAGTCAGTTACAGCCTCAATACATCAAAAGAACTAAATTCTCTCAGGCACAGAGCCCACAATTAAAGATGGAGCTGGCAAAATGGGGTGTGTGTGGAGGGGGGAAATAATAAATACATTAACTTTGTGGCATGTAATAATGATTAACTCTTTTCCGTCAGAGATGCATCCAAACACTTCACAGAGAAGCGGTAGGTAGTATCTCCATTCCACTGAGACACGGAGATTGGGAGGGAAATTTTCATTGCTGCCTAAGAGATCTGGATTCCCAGGTGGCCAAATCCCCTGTTCAGCTTTGAAAATCTCAGCCCCGGTGTCCAAAGGGAATGGCAGTGCAGGAGGGCTGGAGGTCGGTGGGAGGGAACCTTGATTGCCAGGCCTGGTACCTTGATTGCCAGGCCTGGTACCTTGACTACAGGTCCTGTTTTTGAAGCAAAGCCTCTTGCATTTTAAAATCTCACTGCGATGAGGATCAACTTGTGCCTTGAATCGTGCAACTTTCACGAGTTTCAGCACAACCTGGGAAAAGCCACTTTGCACAAGCAGCCGGTGCTGCGATGAAACCCGGGGGCTCAGAAACAGCCTGGAATGAAACAGCAAATATTTCCTGGTGCCAGTATCTGAGAGCCCGCAGTGCTGTTCTCACGCAGTTCTAGCAGGGGCGAGGAGCAGCCAGCCCGGAGCAGAGGCACCTGCATTTAGCCCAGGTGTCAGCCCGGACTCCCCGCAGGGCTGCTCGCGGCGCATGGGACCGCGCTGGGCAGGGGCTGGGCCCGCAGGTGCTGGCTGCACAGAGCGGCACGAGCCGCCAGCCTGGCCTTGAACGTCAGCGTGCAAGGGGGGCGGGGGGAGCCCAGTGCGGTTCCCAGGCTCAGTTGCTCAGGCGGCGGGAGCTGCGGCAGCATCCCTGGAAGCCGGGCCCTCAAACCCCTCCTCTCTCTCCCTGCTTCCTGCCGTGCAAAGATGGCAACCGAGGGGCTGCACGAGAACGAGACCCTGGCGTCCCTGAGGAGCGAGGCGGACAGCCTGAAGGGCCGGCTGGAGGAGGAGCGGGCCAAGCTGCACGATGTGGAGCGTGAGTCTGGGGAGGGGCACGGCTCGGACTGCAGCGCAGCCCCCCCGCGGGCACGGGCGGGGGGTGCAGCGCGGGCATCCCGGGGCGCGGTCGGGCCGAGCGGCGCCCCTAGTGCGCGCTTCTAGCGCGGTGCAGGTGCTGGATCCCGGGTTCCAGCCGTCCGGGCACGCGCTGAGCTGCCCCCCGCCCCGCCCCGCCCCGCGTGCGGACAATGGGCAAGCGGCGCGAGCGTCCTTTGCACCCCGTTGCCCTGCTGAGTGCGGGGCCTGAGCCGGGGGGGCTGAGCCATTCCCCGAGCGCCTGTCGTGCCCTGCGCCGGGGAGGGGAGCAGCTGCTGCTGCTGCTCAGTGGGTGCTGTGATTCAGTAGCATCACTGGGTCTGACGCTCACGTTGGTCACGGTTGGTGGCGGCAGCAGCCGGAGTGAAATCCTGGCCTTGGAGTCGGGGGGAGGTTTGCACTGAGCCGGCATTTCATCCCTGCGGCGTGACTCCCAAGGGGACCATTGCCGCGTTCCAAAAACCCAGCCTCCCCTTCCCAGCAATTCAGTTGTCAAGTCATCGACATGAATCCAGTGTGTAATCAAGCGCCCTAGTCACTGCAATACAAATAAATGATCGTGCATAATTTTACATCCCCCTCCCCTTTTACTCTGGTTAATACAAAATAATTTAACCTTGTTAATCTGAAATCCCTGAGATACAAGACACTATTATTAATAGTAATATTATTTATTATTTACTTTTCATTCCTTTTTTTTTAAACAAATATTATAGGTATAAATTGCAACATTTTTCTTGTACTATAGGGGTGATTTTGCCAGTAACTTTTGTGGGCTTATTACAACTTTGATCCTCCTGTCTTTGTTTTTGAAGTCTGTGTTGAAAGGGGATACAAACCAATATTTAGTGATTTATGTGATCACTGTTCGTTACTCCAGGGGAATGGCAGGAGTGACTATATGTAAAATTCAGATTTAAAAAAAAAATACACCTGCTACTTTTCTGTAGTAAATGAGGCATTTTCTTGCCTAAATTTGATTATCATAGGTTTTGTCAATGTCCTTTTAATAGGAATCATTGAATGGAGATGGCCTCCTTACAGAAACATTACCATAAATCAATACAGTCTTGCAGTATAATTTCTACAGTATGAACAATGAGGCCTCAATTCAGCAAAACACTTAAGTACATGCTTAAAACCATCTCTGTTTAACAAAGCATATGCTTAACTTTAACTGTAGCTGTAGTCTCATGATGTTTGTGGAATACTCTCCACATGTTTTTGTTTACTTCATAGATCTGTAAATAAACGTTTTCCTGAATTTTGTTTGATTAAGGCTGCGTATTTGCCCAGGGTTTGACTTCTGTGACAAAATCTGTGACTTTTAACATTTTTCCCCTTTAAAAGTAATTTTTTTCACCCTAGTGTGCCCACTACTGAGCAAAATTCCTCCATTATTTTTATAGATTTAGTTCTGTGTTGAGGCTTCTGGTCTCTCTGTGCTTTAAAACTATTTCCAACAGTTATTTCTATTGGGGAAATAAATTAAATAACTTCCTTTTTTGAAATCTAAAATTATGACTGTCACTTTTTGCCATGACAAAATCATGATTTTTCCCATTTTCCCCGAAGACAAACTGCCTGCCTTAATAGCTTTTCCCTTCTTTGTTCAATTATATTTTGAACTGTAGCTCTGTGGAAAAAATGTGAATAGACATCTGAAGTCCTACCCTTTTATTTGATTTGCCATCTGGAAAACTCTCAGGGTTAATTACACCATTTAAAAGTTCAAATTGAAAATATAAACAATTATTTTGTCTATTCGATTCATAGATTTTAAGGCCAGCAGGGACTGTTATAATCATCTAATCTGACATACCCCCTTTCCTCCCACTCCCCCTTCTCCCCTGCATAACAGGCCAAAGAACTTCACCCAATAATTTCTGCATCAAGCCCCATAACTTTTGTTGAACTATAGCATACCTTATAGAAAGATATCCAGTCATATTTGGAATATTATGGGCCCAATCCTTCACCTTTACTCACACAAGCTACCTCTTGGGAATAGTCCTGGTCAGTGCAGTGGAGCTACTCGCTTGAGTAAGAGTTGCAAGGTCAGGCCCATAGTTTGCAATAGTGTTTTTACAAATATTATAAATATTTCAGAATTGTTATATTCCTATGAAGTCTGTAGGGATCAGTGTTCTAAGAGAGTTATTTATACTAAAATAGCCAGTTCTGCCGAATTTATGTTGATTAACAGAAAGGAAACATGTAGGCTATTGGCAGTAAAAAGATTTGTTTTATTTGATAAGTTCTGGACACAAGAATTTCAGCCTAGTCTTCCAGTTGCCATAACACTCTCCAGCATTTGTATTTTGATTATATTATTTCAGGATCTCAGTAGATCATTTGATTGGCTTCACTTGATGAGGAGTGTGGGAGGGGGGATGTAGTTTTTCAATGGGTTTAGTTGATACTTTTTGGAAAGGCTAGTTTGCCTTTAGCCCCTCATGAAGATCATTTTGTAATGGACGAATTGTCAGGAATAATGGGCAGCAATTTAGTTCCCTTGCTATATGAGGTTTAGTGTCTTGTAGGGCAGTGTTTGTAGCTAAAAGCATTATTTCAGTTTCTGGCACAGTCTGCAAGGCTGATGTGTTTTGAAAGATGATTATTGAACAGCCAATCCATTAGAAATCAATTTCAGACTTAGGCAGAAATTGCTCAGCTGATTGTGAGCCAAAGAGCCATCTTTGTAGGGTACGGATGCCCGTCCTTTCCCTGTGACAGCCCTTCCTAGCTCACATGCTTTCCCATCACTGCTTAAATACAGGACAAAGATTTTAGCTGTGAGTTTTGTCATGCAGGGATCTGTTTACATTAATATAATTGCAATTTAGGGTCTGAGTTACCCACAACTTTCATCGATAGCGATTGCAGCTACCCAGGGCAATCACTTATCACCATAGGGATTGAACTCAGAGCTCCAGCTCCAACTCACTTGAGCTAAAAGAGGAAAGGCCAGATATAAAGGTGCACTGAAGTCAATGGGAGTCTTTCCACTGATTCCAGTGTGTTTGGATCAGGCGCTGTCTCTTCTAGCTGATCACAGTGGCTGATATGGGCAACCCACTAGCAACTGACATGCACTGAAGCACTGGATCACTTCAGCGTGTCTCTGGATCAGGCTCTTTTTGGTCTCCGGGGCCCGGGCACACGGCTGTTTTACAGCACACCACCTCCTAGGATTCCTACTCCAGCCTCTGGCTCGAGTAGCAGCCCCATTCCTCCATGCTCCTCCTTGTCAGGTGTTTTAAGGTGGTAGAGCCACTAGATCAGGGGTGGGCAAACTATGGGCCGCATCCAGCCCACCAGCCATTTTAATCCGGCCCTCAAGCTCCCGCTGGGGGAGCAGGGTCTGGGGCTTGTCCCACTCCGGCGCTCCAGTCGGGGGGCCACTCCGCGTGGCTCCCGGAAGCAGCAGCATGTCCCATCTCCGGCTCCTATGCATAGGGGCAGCCAGGGTGTTCCGCTCCGCACACTGCCCCCGCTCCAAATGCGGCCCCTGCAGCTCCCATGGCCAATGGGAGCTTCACGGGCAGTGCCTGCGAACGGGGCAGTACGCAGCAGAGCCGCCTGGCCGCAACTCAGCATAGGAGCTAGAGTGGGGACATGCCGCAGCTTCTGGGAGCCGCTTGAGGTAAGTGCCACCCAGAGCCTGCACCTCTGAGCCCCACCCCCCCGCACCCCAACCCCCTGCTCCAGCCCTGATCCTCCTCCTGCCCTCCGAACCCCTCTATCCTAGCCCAGAGCACCCTCCAGCACCCCAAACCCCTCATCCCCAGCCCCACCCCAGAGCCTGCACCCCCAGCCAGAGCCCTCACCCCCTCCCGCACTCCAACCCCAATTTGGTGAGCATTCATGGCCTGCCATACAATTTCCATACCCAGATGTGGCCCTCAGGTCGGGCCAAAAAGTTTGCCCACCCCTGCACTAGATCCACATAAATGGAGATACAATGTCTCCTCCTCTTACTCTGGTTACGTGAGGCCAGCACAGAGTCCTGTTGCTCCTGTGTGAAAGGAGGCAGCATGCCCCTGCTGAGCCCTTCATAGAATGAACATCACTGGGTCAGAAACAAATTAGTGTTCTCAGCTGATGCCTCTCCCCCCCCCCCCCCAGACAGCCTCAGCATGAGGCTTCAGGGGTGCAAGATGGCTTTGAACTGTGCCAGTTGCAGTGGGGTGGATTTCACACTGAGGTGCCTTTGCACATTCATTTTTACAGCCATGTCCTGTTGGAAATCTAAGATTATTTATAGAAACAGCAGATGGAAACTCTGCTGAGAAATAACTTAAAACATTGTGAGAACTCCAGCTGGAGGATTTTACTTAGGAGTCTCCACAATGAATAGAAACTGTTTCACAGAGTCATATGTTTTTAGAAATAAACACTTGCTATTATTCAAACACCAGTCAAGTGAAGTGCAAAGGCTTTGTTACGCTGATGCAGGTTAATGTCATAAGATACGATGCTGTCTCAAAAACTGCTCAGCCACTCAGCCCACGCAGAGGCGCATAATGCCTGCGGTTGGCACACAGACTTCCCATGGCTTCCAGTGGGAATTCTGAGTGCAGATCAAACCTCTGAACTGACTGAAGTCCAGTACCTATAGCACCTTGAGGTCAGAGCTGCCACATTAAAATGTCCTCACATTGCTGGGACTGAAATTATTTAAAAAAAAACTTTTATAACATTAAAAGCACTTTCTGAGGATTTTAGAACCACAACAATAATTTGAGACAAAACACTGCACTAAAAAGTGAGATCTCCAAAATCTTATGACATTGTATATAATTTTTCAAACTTTTTTTAAATTCTGAACAAATGTAAAAAGTCCTAAATAATGTAGATGAATTTTTGTAAAATAAACACCACATACAACTCTCTCCCCCCCAAACAAAACCTGGTATGTTTTGATTAGATGGCATTCTCTACGGTCTCGTCTATTTCTAATAGCTGTGCTTCAGTGAAGAATACTATACATGTGGTGTTAGATGTGCTTCAAGTGAACTTCGAGCCTGATCTTGCACTCACTCACCTGACTAACTACTCACCTGAATAGACTCATTGTGCCACCTGAAATTACTCATGTGGGTAAAGTCACTCATGGGTATTAAATGTTTGCAGGCCCAGGGTTTTAATATGGAGCAAACATTTGGTGATTCTCTTTATGGTTAATTCTCCACAGTTCATCAGGTGGCGGAACGTGTGGAAGCCCTAGGTCAGTTTGTGATGAAGACCAGGAGAACTCTGAAAGGCCATGGCAATAAAGTCCTCTGCATGGACTGGTGCAAAGATAAAAGACGAATTGTGAGCTCTTCCCAGGTGAGGAAATGTGTAGGTGCTATTCGAAGTCAGTGATAGCCAGGCACAATTCTGATAGCTACACTAGGTAACGTTAATTGGAAATGAAATCTACGTTTAGTCTAAATGCTTTCATGATGCCTAAAGCATTCTTTTAGCAACATATTTGTTCAGAGAACACAAACCAGACTACTGAGTAAAGAATATAATTCTGGTAAGCATCACCACACCTATTGGAGGTGAGACCCTAAAGACCCCTCATCTATTTTTCAAACAGAATTTTTCCAGTGTTCAGAGTACGTTAGCACATTACATATGCAGTATTACAGCAAGCTGGTTTGGGAGCAGATGCATCTTATTCTCTCTGGACACTCAGTATGCAGCACTTCACCCCATCATTTGAATTAACATATGAAGAGAGAGAATTGGGATGGAGAGGTCTGAAAACATTCTGATTCTACTTGAAAGGTCTCCGTGTGATCTGTGAACATGAAATCCTTTCTGTGGTCTGGAAGATGGATGTGGCCTTAAAAATAAACAACCTCACTCAGCCAGCTAGAACTATTACAAATATTTGGACATTTTGATAAACAGTCATTAAGTCTGTTTGGATCAGTCTTATGTCACAAAGTTGTGCAGGGGAATGGGGGAGGTATTGAGATAAAAGCCTTTCACTTCTAGGTCACTGGTTCACATTCAGAATGGTAATGGCTGGAACTTGTTACATCTGACGGCTGTTCATTGGCCTCTATGAAATGAGTTGCTGGTCTCAATCTACCGCCTACAAGATAGAATAGGATATCTGCATCACAAACCACCATGAGAGTTACTGCTGTCTGGCACCATCCTTGGAGGTCTCAGTCAGGAGACCAAAGATTGATCATTTACTAAGCTATTTTTTGAAGTGGTAAAGTATCAGTGTATAGGTATGAAAGCAAAAGAGAGAGAGGCTTTATTCCACTTTAAAATATGTGTCCTGAAAAAAACCACACCCAGTGATTCTGTGAACCAGTCTGGGGGTTCAGGTATTAGCACTGCAGACACGTTGAGGTTTGTTTTTTGTTTGATGGCACTTCGATCATTTCATTTTGCATTTTTTTTAAACTTCTATTTTAAGAAATTAATGAGCCCAGGGACAATAACAATAGCTGGTTACAAACAAACAATTCACTCTTCCCAGACTGGAATGTTAAAGGATATTATGCCAGCCAAAGGTAATTGGCATCAACGCACAGATAAGGTGATTATGTAGCACACTATTGGTTGCATGTTCATTCTTGTTAGTAGGTTACTTAAGTGGGCAACTAAAAGTTAAGTAAAAGTAGTAGTAGAAAAAGGGGGAGCAGAGAAAGGGTGGAATGGGAAAAGAAGATCAATAGACTGATCTGAAGAGGAGATGTAACTGAGAGGATAATTATGAGCTAAGATAAGTTCATTTGTAGGAGAAAAGAAGGAGAATAAAAATTCATCCAGGTGGTTGTTTCTTGAGAAGATAATGATCTCCATGATAAGTGTTGAGAACAGCTCCTTCCTTTCACTTAAAGGCTACATCTACCCTGCGAGCTAGTGCCTGATTCCCCTACTCGCATACTCATGCTAGTGTTCAGCAAGCTTGCATGAGTACAAGTAGCAGTGTAGCCCTGGTAGCATGGGTTGGGGCAGTGGAGACACGACTGAGCTGTGTCAAGTACATACCCACCAGTTTCAGGCAGGTGTGTACTGGGAATGGGTAAGCCATGCCGCTGCTACCACTGCCCGTGCTACTGCGTTTACACTACTATTTATCCTCACACTAGCACTCATTGAGCTAGTGCAAGTTGGTGTATAACCCCTAGCTCATAGTGTAGACAGCCAGAGAGGGAGGGTCTTGCTCTCTCTGTGGGCTAAGGAAAGGTCTTTTAAAGAGAGTCATGAGTGCTAAGACTGATTTTCCAGAGGCACACTGGAGTTGCATTTACAGAAATAACTAGCCTAATTATGCGGTGTCTCTGATTCATAGCGCACTTCACTGTTGCTAATAGCAGTGTTGTAAAGGTGGTGACACATTTCCTGGGGAAATAACTTCTGTCCCACATGCCAACAGCAGTGCTTTGCCCAGAACTCTGAAATACGGGAGTGAAAGTACACTTTGAAGCCCCTAATTTCTCTCTCCATTGTGTGTTGAATTTAGGATGGGAAGGTGATAGTGTGGGATTCCTTCACTACCAACAAGGTAAGTGGACTCCTACAGTTTCTGTATATAAAGCCAAATATGGCTGCTCTGCGCGGATGTGCTAGAGATGGAAGTGGAAACCCTTCCCTCTCTCTCTTCTTCAGTGCACCAGATCTCCTGGCACCACTGCCTGGGCACTAAGTGCTTGGGAGTTTGAGCTTCCCACACTCTGCTCTCCAGCTGGAGTTTGAGCATGTCATTATTCTGGGCACTGGCTGGTGCAGAGCAGAGCTGGCGACGTGCAGGCTACACCTATAGAATATCTGTAGTGAGTGCCATGAATAAGCATGTGCCCTGGCATATTTTGACCCCTTGTGTTTTCTCCTGGCTTCTTTAGCCATAATGTCCCCAGATGTTCCTGCATGAGAGATGCTGCTCCCTCCCAGTGTGGCTCAGGTCTGCGTAGCCTTAGCAGAAGCTATAGCTAATAAAAAGTGTCATTAGCATTATAAAAACAGGCCGGTGTAATGTACCTTTGAACAAATGCTGCAATGACCATCCAAAATGTGGAGAGTTCTAAAGTGGCCCTTGCAGGTGTCCAGCATCTTACACAATTGTCCTGGAGTAATTCACAACCAGTCACTTTGTGCTGGGAAATAAGGCTAGAGGTACCAAGAAATGCATGACTTGGCAGTTGTGGCTTGATTCTCATCCTCATACATTCTCTTGCTTTCACAATGAAAGTTGATCTTGAATTACAGCTTGATTCTCCACTATTCAGGTTTAGGAGCAAAAATCTGTTAAAAAATGGGCATGGTCTCTTATCTGTTGTCTATTTTCATTAAATACAGCAAGGGGTCATGACAGCATTTGAGCAATTTCGGCCTCTGTATGGTTATTTTAACACCAATTAGTGACATGATAATACACTCAGAAGTTGATTCTTGAGCTGTAAGGAGAATATTATGTTTCAGGAACATGCGGTGACTATGCCATGTACCTGGGTGATGGCATGTGCATATGCCCCATCTGGATGTGCCATTGCTTGTGGGTAAGTAAAAGCTCTTGCAACTTCTTAAACTAGAGGAGCTGTGACTTTGTGTCCCAAGTAAATGTAACTTATGGAGCTGGGGGAATATTTTAAAATGTTGGCTCTTCCCTTCCCCTCTCCTTCCCCCCTTTCTTCAAGAATGCTTTAGAAAACAATTTGGAATCCTAGGGAAAAGACCTGATATTTAGTAGTTTTAGCAGAAAAAAGCAACTATCCAACTTAATCAGATGAGTATTATTTTTTAAAAAAAATCTTTATATGTGGCCGTCTTTACCCATCACTGGAATTGATTGACAGCTTAACAAATACTGACAGTGATATCATTTGGATGCTATAAGCCAGTGGTTCCCAAACTTCTTCCACTGCTTGTGCAGGGAAAGCGCTTGGCGGGCCGGGCCGGTTTGTATATCTGCCGCGTCCGCAGGTTCAGCCGATCGTGGCTCCCAGTGGCTCAGTCCGCGCCGCTTCCAGCAGCTCCCATTGGCCTGGAGCAGCAAACCGCGGCCACTGGGAGCTGCGATCGGCCAAACCTGTGGACGCGGCAGGTACACAAAGTGGCCCGGCCCGCCAGGCGCTTTCCCTGCACAAGCGGCGGAACAAGTTTGGGAACCACTGCTATAAGCATTTAGGAAAGTGTTGCATCCAATGGGCCTGGTTCTGTCCCACACTGGTTCACATGGGTGTAACTCCATTGACTTCAGTCGTGTTACTTCTGATTTGTACCAGCATGAGAGGAGAAATGGACCCAAAGTAGGGCCTGATCCAAAACCCCTTGGAATGAATGGAGTCTTTCAATGGCATATTTTGATAACCTCGTGACTTTGTTCATATGGAGCAGAAATCTGTCCATGCTTCAAACTTCTGAAAATATCTTAGGACCTCATATTGCCCTGGGCCTATATAAGTAACATTCAAGTTTGAAGCACAGACAGCTAAAGATATCTGTTCCATAGGAATAAAGTCACATAGTAATCAAAACATGCAATATGGGCCTGATCCAATATGCAATATGGTGTCAGAGGGAGTTTCACAGTATGGGCAGATCAAGGGCATGTAGGGCCTTGAGACTGTATTAAGTTATGTGCAAATTTAGTACACAAAGAAATTGAACTCCTGCTTTTTGTCATCTCATCATTAGATCATGGAACCTCAAATGTTAAATACTTTATTCCAAAGAATTCTTTTTCAGCAACACAGTCAATATTTCCACTGCCTATTTTCAAGCTATTTTGAAAGTATTATCTTTAAGGCATCTGTTGCTATATGTCTTTTTCCATAGAAGATGTGCCAAATTCAGTAAGTTGGATAAATGGTAACATCATGAGAGTAATACTAAAAACTTAATTCAATAGAAAAATGGCAATTTGACTTTATTCAAAAGATTAACTGCAAGGTTACTACTGGATTACTTGTCAATAAATGTTGGATGGACTGTGGTTCAGTAACAAGCAGTTTATTAATTAAATGCATGTAATAAATACTAGGGACTAGGTCCTCAGTCCCACTTCCAGCTGTTCAAGCAGTACAAAATAGCCATACATTTGCCATAAAGAAGCAGCTGGGGATTCTCTTAGCATATGGGAATCCCAGGTGGTGTAATAGAATGGAAATCTACATTTGTAAGGATTTGGTGTTGCAGAATTTTTAGTATATTTCACCCTTATGTTTGTTTCTCATCCCACTTTTTCTTGTCATTAATGTTTTCTCTGTCTTTTTTTTTTTTAATTCTTAACTCTAGTGGCCTGGACAATAAGTGTTCTGTGTATCCACTGACGTTTGATAAAAATGAAAATATGGCTGCAAAGAAGAAATCTGTTGCAATGCACACAAACTACCTGTCTGCCTGCAGCTTCACTAACTCAGACATGCAGGTAAATACATTCAGATTCAGCATATAATACAAAACCATGAGCTGGATTTATACTTGCTGCTGCAGAAAGATGCAAAGTATGCTTCCTTGCACCAGAGATGGTCATTGTGCAATGGGGTATTCACATTCTGTGCAAGGCAGTGGTTCCTGCTAAGAAGGACAGCATCCATCTCTGCTGAAAGCTCCATAAAAGCTCTTGCTCACAGAGGCTGTAAGTAAGGATGTGCTGATTCAGATTTTATATATTTATAGATTTTATTTATAAATTTTTATATATATAAAATATATATATCAGGTGAGCTGAAAAACAGAGAGACCAAGTAACTTGCCAAAGATCTCACAGGTATCCTATGGCAGAGTGGGGAATAAAACGCATGTCTTCTGAGTGCCAATCTGGTGCCTTAGTTACAAGACCATCCTTCCTATTTAATAAATAAATAAACCCCAGCTCCTGCAAGATCATGAGAGTATGTGGGCATGAAAGATTCCAAGATAATCGTCTATCCCATTCTGGTTTTAGAATTTAATTGATGTTATGCTTATTATATACTGTTGTAGCAAAATAAATGGGAAGAGGGGGTATTTTCATTGTTATGCAGACTATGAAGTCTGGATAGAAAAGATATGCTTGTTTCCTTGGCTATTTACAGATATTTACAGCTCTTCCTAAGGAAATATCAGCTAGGATTGCTTCTATTTCAGGACATGAGCTACCCAAGAGTGAGCTGTTATTTGCCATTATGTGGTTTCAGTAATGAATCTGAGATGCTGATTCAAGTCTATTGCTATGGAAACAGAGGAAAGTCAAGGATTTACCCAGAGTGCTCTAGTGTACTTAATTGTGGCCTTACAATGCAGGAGTCCAGTATAATTCGGGCAGAGTAAACATGAAGTCTAAATTAGGTGGAATGTTGTTTGTGAAACACAAAAATAGTGTTTTGCTTTCCTGGTTATACCTGTGTGAACCATGGCTTTTTATTTTTGTAGGTTTTTAGTATTCTCTTCATAATCAAGGAGTGAAAACAGCAGAGTTTTACTTTTATGCTCATGTAGAATACAATAGATATTATAGATTGATATAGATACAATAGGTATTCTACTGAATAAATTCCTATTTATTATTTGTGTAGCACCAACCATGTACGTAGGTGCTTTAGACAGACAGCTCTGGAGGAGCCCTGACCCGAAGAGCTTAGTCTAGCTATACCAAGATATTGAGTTGGGGATCAATAGGTGTTTATGTTTTGAGTGATATTTTGTAGTGCTGTTTAAAATATAGCAGTGAAAAGAAGAAAGAGAGATCAGAAAATTCAACCCAAGCTGGCCTTACAGCTCTCCTTCGGGATGCTGGTTGTTGGGAAATAGTCTCCATTTCTGGTATAACGACCCTAGGATAAAATTACTTTTAAAACAATTAGGCTATGGTGTCAAATGTGCATAAACAGTTACAAGCTTTTCCTAATACTACTTTTTGGTTAAATATTAGTCATTTGGATGCACTGAGCAGTTCCTTTCCTCTTGGGACACATCTACAATGGACTTACTCCCACCCATGGAATAACCCCAAACATGACTGAAAGGCCTCATCCTGCCGGGAGCTGAGTACCTTATGTTAATAACAAGGAAAGCCGCTCATCACTTTGTGGGAGACACACAGCACCTTCACAGGAGCAGGCCCTCTCATGCAGCAATGTGAAAACCATGTTGCCCCGCTCCAAGCCAGCTGCACATACATTAGTAATATCAGTACTTGGGGATCTCCAAGCCAGCTGCACATACATTAGTAATATCTGTACTTGGGGATCTCCAAGTATTTTACATGCAGAGGACAGACAGATGGTAGAAGAGTTGGGAATTGAACTCAAGTACTCCTGAGTCACTGTCTCTTAAGAACATAAAAACATAAGAACGGCCGTACCAGGTCAGACCAAAGGTCCATCTAGCCCAGTATCCTGTCTACCGACAGTGGCCAATGCCAGGTGCCCCAGAGGGAGTGGACCTAACAGGCAATGATCAAGTGATCTGTCTCCTGCCATCCATCTCCATCCTCTGACAAACAGAGGCTAGGGACACCATTCCTTACCCATCCTGGCTAATAGCCATTAATGGACTTAACCACCATGAATTTATCCAGTTCTCTTTTAAACGCTGTTATAGTCCTAGCCTTCACAACCTCCTCAGGTAAGGAGTTCCACAAGTTGACTGTGCGCTGTGTGAAGAAGAACTTCCTTTTATTTGTTTTAAACCTGCTGCCTATTAATTTCATTTGGTGACCCCTAGTTCTTGTATTATGGAAATAAGTAAATAACTTTTCCTTATCCACTTTCTCCACATCACTCATGATTTTATATACCTCTATCATATCCCCCCTTAGTCTCCTCTTTTCCAAGCTGAAGAGTCCTAGCCTCTTTAATCTCTCCTCATATGGGACCCGTTCCAAACCCCTAATCATTTTAGTTGCCCTTTTCTGAACCTTTTCTAGTGCCCGTATATCTTTTTTGAGATGAGGAGACCACATCTGTACGCAGTATTCGAGATGTGGGCGTACCATCGATTTATATAAGGGCAATAATATATTCTCAGTCTTATTCTCTATCCCCTTTTAAATGATTCCTAACATCCTGTTTGCTTTTTTGACCGCCTCTGCACAATGCGTGGACATCTTCAGAGAACTATCCACGATGACTCCAAGATCTTTTTCCTGACTCGTTGTAGCTAAATTAGCCCCCATCATATTGTATGTATAGTTGGGATTATTTTTTCCAATGTGCATTACTTTACATTTATGCACATTAAATTTCATTTGCCATTTTGTTGCCCAATCACTTAGTTTTGTGAGATCTTTTTGAAGTTCTTCACAGTCTGCTTTGGTCTTAACTATCTTGAGCAATTTAGTATCATCTGCAAACTTTGCCACCTCACTGTTTACCCCTTTCTCCAGGTCATTTATGAACAAGTTGAATAGGATCGATCCGAGGACTGACCCTTGGGGAACACCACTAGTTATCCCTCTCCGTTCTGAGAATTTACCATTAATTCCTACCCTTTGTTCCCTATCTTTTATCCAGTTCTCAATCCATGAAAGGACCTTCCCTTTTATCCCATGACAACTTAATTTACGTAAGAGCCTTTGGTGAGGGACCTTGTCAAAGGCTTTCTGGAAATCTAAGTACACTATGCCCCCTGGTCCCCCTCTTCCTCAAACCGCTAGAGATGCTCTCACCTCTTAATGACTATGAAGCATTTCTAGTCCATTCCAGAGAAAGCAAAAGTTTGGAGTCTTCTGTGAGCCCCAAAATATCCTAACATTTCAGCCTTGGTTTCTGTATCATTGTGGCTAACACATTTTTATTACTCCAAGGACAGGAATGAATGTGTTTTACCCAAAAGCCTGGTAGAATGCTGAATATTACCACGAGGTGGCAGATGAAGACACTTGATCCAGTGTTTCCAGACTTGCTGAAAGTCTAGCTAGAAGACTAAAACATGATAAGCAAAGTAGATCTTGCACTCCATGTTTTTGTATAAGAACAGTTTCAACTTGAGTTCATAACATTTCCAAACTAACCATGCTTATTATAAAATATAATGAAGAGCTCTGTGTTTAAAAATGGATCACACCCTTAAAACTTCTGTCTGCCCCTCCCCCTGCACATCCTTCTATGCTGCTCATTTGGCTATCAAGATGGGAAAGGCTGATAATCTAGCAGCTGACAATCGCAACGTCTCATCCTGAAAATGTAACTATTCCTCATAATACAAAAATGTATCATCCTAGATGCAAAAATAAATGAGAGATAATTTAGGATTCGATTCCACACCCTCAATCCCAAAATTTTAGCACATCTCCGCATGCAATGGGGACAGCAGGACCCAAAACAGACTGTCCTGCAATTTTTACAAACCTCTAAGTGCCCCTGTATCTACTGAAGGGTAACCAAATCTGAGCTTTTGCCAAAAATAATTTGTTTTTAACCCACGTGTAGCCCTGTAAGTGACTCTCTCTACTTGCATGATTATTTTTCCCCTTGCAGTGTGATTCATTTTGGCTTCCAACCACAGCTGACTTCTCTAGCAATTGCTTCACTAAGCATTAAAAAAAAATGGGTATGATCCATGTCTCTTCCACTACTTGTCTAGGGAGAGCCACCTTAGCACTTAAGTTGTGAGCCTTGTGATTCCTTGTTCAGTATACAGGACTGAACCATCAGACAACATTTCAGCATACAAAATTTGTGATTGTGTAAGAGCTGCTGATGGCCACAGGGAAGTTTTGTACAGTTGAGGGTCTTCATCAGGATGAGAGTAGCTGTTGGCAACGTTCAGTCATTACATGTCCAAATCCAGTCACACATTAATGATTTAGGACATGTGATGGACTTGCCAAACAATTGTTGGTCTAAGCTCATGCACACAAAAGATGTCACATTCAAATTATCTGTAATTTATACGAATTTTGTTGGCTCCAGACCTGGCTGTTTCAGGTAGTAGAATAAGAGGAGCTTAAAAAGTTTATTTAAATCCACCAACTCTTCAATTAACCCTTTTTGGATTCCAGTTTTATTAATGTGGACAGGGCAGACATACCGATCTGGGACTAAGAACTTCCTGGCTGAAATGGAAATACCAGCAGATCACAAGCTTGGATGCACTAGTTGGTGTCCCCTCAAACAACTGAGAACAGAATTAAGTTAATATTTGCTGTGTCTATCACAATATTCTGTTTTTCCCCCGCCCCCAGCTCTGCCACCTTCCTTTTGAAAAAACCATGCTGAGATCCACGTTGGTTTACTGACTCCGATCTATTGAACATTAAGTTCAGTAGAATCTCAGAGTTACAAACACCTTGGGAGTGGAGGTTGTTCATAACTCTGAACAAAATATTACGGTTGTTCTTTCAAAAGTTCACAACTGAACATTGATTTACTACAACTTTGAAACTTTACTATGCAGAAAAAAATTCTGCTTTTAACCATCTTAATTTACCTTGTCAAATCTTTTTCTAAACTTTCCCTTTATTTTTTTAGTTTACGTTTAACACAGCACTGTACTGCATTTTGCTTTCTCTCTCTCTCTCTCTCTCTGCTGCTGTGGAGTGTGGTTGACTGATCAGTTTGTAATTCTGAGGTTCAACTGTAAAATCCAATTCGTTGCGCGTGTGAGGCACAATGGTTTCTGAGTGAACCTGAGGCTTTTATGTGATGTTGTACTGTTGCCCTTTTCTCACCTACCATAGATCCTGACCGCTAGTGGAGATGGAACGTGTGCCCTCTGGGATGTTGAGAGTGGGCAGCTTCTACAAAGTTTTCATGGGCATGGGGCTGATGTCTTGTGCCTGGATCTGGCCCCTTCTGAAACAGGAAATACGTTTGTGTCTGGGGTAAGTGGGATTTTTATTTTATGATATAAAACAAGGAATGAAGGAAGGGGAAAGGAAGGGTATGTAGGAAAAGGGGAAGTTTGGGATATTGTTTAAAGAGGAGGGTGGGATATATGGGGAGAGACCATACAGAGCAAGTAGTCCTGTCACTGCAAGCACACTTCTCAAGCTGGAGCAAATTAACACTTTTCCTGAAAGGTCAAACCCAAACCCCATCAGATTGACTGTAGCTCTGTAGCTAAAGTATTTAGCAAATTCCACCCTACATTAAAATAATCCATCACGTGATCAAAAGCTTCCCTTGGGAAGGGGAAAGACCAAGAGTTAAAGCAGTAAAAGTTCATAGGGCGGAAGGTGGTGTAGGCCTTCCATAGATAGAATTCTGTTCCGCTGCACATGGCTTTTCACACTTGCCTCCTTTTCTTCACCCTACTCGTTCCCTACTTGGATTCCTGTAGAGAGCTTGATCATCAGGGGTGCCAGAGCTCTGCTCAATTCACCTGGGTGGGGCAGTCAATGATGCATATGCCATCTTTTTGATAACCCCCTCCCAGAAGCCTGGAGGTAGCTCGGGGACTGGTTTAGCATCAACACAAGTTAGATCATCCCTAGGTATTTATGTGGGGCCAGATCTTCACCCATCACTTTGCCCTTCAGCAGCACTAACGGCACATTCAGCTACTTTAATTAGGCCATCAAGGATTTATACCACTTGCTCTCCCATCTCCTCCGCCTAGGGGAATATCAGAGAGGGGATGGCAGAAATGGGACAGAAGCACACAGTACTTCACCTGATCCTTGACTGGTTGCTAGGGGACTGCTCTGTCCAGCTGCACAACTGAGTTATGGTGGAGGCTGTTTTGACATCATGTCAGGCAGTATATCAGGGAGGCATAAAGGTGTCTTAGGGATTGTCTTCACCCACTGCTTTAACTATGGACTTTTGTCTTCACTGCAAAGTTAACTTGAGTGTTGCTCCTAACTCGAGTCCTGTTCTCACTCACAAACCCTTAACTCTAGTGTGATGGTGCTTTCAACACAAGTTGGCTGGTCCTTCAGGGGGTACAGGCTACAGGTCAGACTAGTACAATTAATCAGCTGCTAACACAATCAGTCTGTAGTGTAGATGCAGGCTGGCTCCATTTGAGTGCTGCTAGTCTTCCAGTGCCCATAAAGGACAGACAGGTTCTCTCTCACAATTCACTGAGAAAGAATGCATAGAGCCATTAAGCTCACTACAGTGCAGAGAACTACAGTATATGATTCCAGAAATCTTCATGCCACACAAGAGTGTGTACAGCCCCAGTGTGGACACAGCAGCTCCAATGTTATTTCACAGTGTGGCTGCACTCATTTGAGCTATCCTAACTCAAGTGGAGTAATTCAAGTGCTGGTAAATCAAGTTAACTCTGCAGTGAAGACATACCCTATATTAGTTTGACACTGGTATAGTTAAAGTGGTACAGCCCCCTAGTGTGGGTGCAATTATTTTGGTGTAAAGGTGCATATACCAGGATAGTTTTTCCCATAAATGTAAGGGATTAAGCTATGCCCATATAATCATATTTACATATGATGTCATGCATCTGCAACTGCATGCATAGGAAGGGTTGACCAGTTTTAACTATTGAGCTAAAAATAGTGTGTAGACCAGGCCTTAGAGTAACCTCTGCGTTTTCCTGCTGCACTGTGCCAAGTGTGCCCTCAGGATTGAACCCTTGGTTTCAGTACTCAACACCCTTTTAATTCTGTTAAAAATGAATATCCTGCTCCATGTGGGGTAAATTTTACCCCTTTAAAGAACCTGTCTCCACACAGAGGAATCAGCGCAAGAACCGTGTATGTGACGAGCCAGGTTGCGCATTGTTCTTGCATCCCAAACTCCCATAGATGTCAGTGAGAGTGGTGGGCATGCAAGGAATGCAGGGCTGGGCCCTGAATGTGAGTGGGTTTTGAAATCCAAAATGTTCCCTTTCCAATGAATTTCCTTCTCCGGGCAGAGCATTAATTATCTGGTGCTTTGGTACCAGATGGAAAGTTCTTCTATTTAAATAATGACATCATAAGTGAAGAGTTGTGATTTAATTTCACAAGGGATTTAAAAGAGAGAGGAATGGATCACAAGGAGGCTGTTTAGTTTAACCACCAACTGTCTTCTTAAAAATAAATAATGCATATACTACAGCCTACTGAGGAGGAATACACTAACTAAGCAGTAACCCATAGCAGGATGGGCCTATAATATGTTCACCACATGCCTCTGGTGACTATGGAAACCTGAACAGAAAGAAAGGCAGAGTGCCTCCCATGCTAAGTCTAGTTATTACCCTCTCTTCTCATGTTACTGTTTCCACAGTTCTTTAAATATGATTTACCCAACCCCAAAAATCTGAACTTTTTTCTTATCACTGATTTGCAGATGTTTGTTTCTATTCTTATTTGTATTACAGTAGTGCCTAGAGACCCCACCTGAGATCAAGGCCTGATTATGCTAGGTTTATACGCACCCGTACTAAGAAGTGGTCCCTGCCCTGAAGAGCTTAGGCTATGTCTGTACTACAAGCTAGGGGTGTGATTTCCAGGTGGCGTACGCAATACTTATGCTAGTTCAAGTATAAACAGTAGGACAGCCGCAGTAGCCTGGGTAGTGGCGGCACAGCTTAGCCATGCTGAGGATGTGCGTGGGTTTGTTCACTGCATGGCTAAACTGGCACCTCTGCCAGTGCTATCGTGGCTACATCACTATTTATACTCACACTAGCTGTCATCGAGCTAGTGCAAGTATGTGTACGTGAGCTGGGAATCTCACCACTAGCTTGTAGTGTAGATGTAGCCTAAGCAGGCAAGACCGACAAAAGCTGGGGGCGGAAACAGAGACAGAGAGAGGTGAAGTGACTTGCCCAAGGTCGTCACACAGCAGGTCAGTGGCAAAGACAAGACTCCCAGGCCAGTGTCTTCTCCATGAGACACTTGTGGGCCTGACCCTGTGAGGTGTTGAGTACCTCTTAGGAGTGGCTGGGTGATCTCAGTGGGAGTTGTGAGTATAGTCCACCCTTCCCAAGTCATGCTCTGCACCTTGCAATAGCAGGCCCAGTTGGAAAATTCTTTACACTCTTTCTTGCGGGTATGTTTAATACCAAACTAGCTGTGAAGCAAATGGCTTCAGAGCCATGGATGGAGCTATCCCTGGCTGAGATTATTGCAGTTGTTTCATTTTCTAGTTAAGGTCATTTGAAGAATGCACCATAAAATTTGAACTAAGTAGTAATTTTTTATATCAAACATGTTAAGTGATGAAAGAGTCAGTGAAGCAGTTTAGTGGCATGGTGGGTATTGCAGAATACAACTATGGAAACAGCATTCGGGCAGCAGCGCAGGGCACCAGAAAGTAATTTTTAGGGTTTGCTGAGAAGGTGGCGCTCGGCATGAACAGCCCTGGGCTATGGCTACTCGAGAGTTGATTTCCAGCCTGCTGCTGCTGCACTGCATCTCCACTGCTGGTAGCAACTGTAGGAGTGCTGGTAAGAAACGGCCACTGGAGATTCAAACATCATGTTAATTTTCGGCTGCCTCTATTTTTGGGCCTCTGCTATATAAACTGCTAGGGCTTGATTGGTTTGAGATATTGACCTTTTGCAGCTCCCATTGACTTCAGCTGGAGGTGTGGGGTGCTCAGCAGCTCAGAAAACCAGGCCCTAGTGCAGGGGTGGTCAAACTTTTTGGCCCGGGGGCCACATCAGGGAATAGAAATTGTATGGCGGGTCATGAATGCTCACGAAATTAGGGTTGGGGTGCGGGAGGGGATGGTGGGCTCTGGGTGGGGCTGAGGATGAGGAGTTTGGGTTGTAGGAGGGTGCTCTGGGCTGGGACTAAGGGGTTCGGAGGGTTGGAGGGGGATCAGGGCTGGGGCAGGGAGTTGGGGTGCAGGAAGGGGTGTGGGCTCCGGGGTGGGGCTAGGGATGAGGAGTGCAGGAGGGTGCTTTGGGCTGGGATCGAGGGGTTTGGAGGGCAGGAGGGGGATCAGGGCTGGGGCAGGGGGTTGGGGCATGGGGAGAGGCTCGGAGGTGCAGGCTCCGGGCAGCGCTTACCTCAAGTGGCTCCCGGAAGCAGTGTCATGTCTCTTCTCCCACTCCTACGCGAGGCGCAGCCTGGCGGCTCGGCGCGCTGCCCCGTCCGCAGGCATCGTCCCTGCAGCTCCCATTGGCCGGGAACTACAGCCAATGGGAGCTGCAGGGGCGGTGGCAGCGTGAAGAGTGGAGGCCCCTGGCTGCCCCTACACATAGAAGCCGGAGGGGGGGCCATGCTGCTGCTTCCGGGAGCTGCATGGCACGGCCCCTGACCCTGCTCCCCGGCTGGAGCGCCAAGCAAGCCCCAGACCCCTCTCCCCAGTGGGAGCTCGAGGGCCGGATTATAAGGGCTGGCGGGCCGGATCCGGTCTGTGGGCCATAGTTTGCCCACCCCTGCCCTAGTGGTTTCTAAAACTGGGTGCCCAAACTTAGAAGCCACTTCTGAAAATCTGGGCCCAAGTGACTTGCCAAAGGCCACACAACGAGGCGGCATTAGAGCCAAGATTAGAACTCAGGAGGATCCTGACTTTCAGCACTATGTTCAACCCACCAGTGCTGGCCGTATAAGAAACAGGAAACCCACTTTCTTACCTGCTGTAGCGCAATGTAATTAGACAGTAAGTCTTGTGCTGCTTCTGATTATAAAACTAGTGTTCACAACAAGAGAACATTTCCTGGGGAAGAAAGGAAGGAAATGAACGAGACAAAGGATGAAAAAGATAGAGTAGACAGAATGGCTGAGTAGTTTAACTGAACTATTGTTTTGCCGCCTGTAATTCTCCAACAGCTCCTTTTACGTACTGCAAGGGAGTATTCTACCTGTCTATCTAATCGTAATGTATTTATTCCAGAAAGTTTCTGAAACAACTGCAAGGTTTTTCTGTACAATCTCACTGCATGTATTTCTGCCAGACCCCCTAGGGGTAAAGTTTCAGGAGGTCTGTGGCCCACCTTCTGTGGTGGAACATTTACATGCATAACTGAATTGCAGGTGCAAATCTGAGTGCTGGTGCCTCCTTCTAATCAATTGCAGGTGCCAAACAGGCAGTAAGTGGTGCAAATGCTCAGATTTGTTCCTGCAAATCTTTGCATGCTCATAAAAAGGGGGACCAAGTTTCAGGCTTTCTGAAAATATAGCCTCAGTTTCTGGAGCAGCTTTGCTAAAGTGTATCCTTTTAGGAGATGTGAGGTGCAGAGCTTAATTGGGATTGAAAGGGGGTGTTTAAGTCTTATGTGGGGTTGATTTCACCTGTGTGAATTGGTGTGTGTATAATGCGGGTAATTATTTCTCTTTTTAGGGGTGTGACAAGAAAGCAATGGTTTGGGACATGAGGTCTGGACAGTGTATCCAGTCATTCGAAACTCACGAATCGGATATCAATAGCGTCAGGTCAGTGCATTTCTGGCAGAACACTTTTACAACAGTGTAATGTTAAGCTACGTGTTGATTTTTATTTCTGAAAGCCTACTTCATTTGACTAACACATTACTGTACTCTGTTCCCCCCTGCACAGATACTACCCAAGTGGGGATGCTTTTGCCTCTGGCTCTGATGATGCCACAGTAAGTTCATTCAAGAACTTCATTTGGAAAAGATTTGTTAAGTCTCATGTCATAAATCCCTACGAAGAATGGGCCAAATTCACAGCTCACATGAAGTGATTTTATTAGACCCAAGTTATTAATATGTAGATATGGGGAAATGCTTGCAGAATTCCTAGCTGGCCTTTGGAAGGTTTTGGGGTTGGGACAATTTCTGTGTGAGATCTTCCAGCTTCGTGCATGCTATCAGATGAGCAGGGTCACTATGGGAGGCATACAAGGAGTTTCAAAAAGATTTTTAGGCAAATACTCAAACTCCCTCCATTAATCTGCCTGTAAAATTTGCAGTCACATCTGTTTACACAAGCAAACTAAATTTGCATGTGCTGCTGTATGCTCCCCTGAGTTTTGTAGGCACATAAATAGTGTCCAGCTGAAAATTTTCCCTTAAAACCTTCGACTGACTCTCTGCCATTTTAAATTGTGCTCCATTCTTGGGAACTGCTAGGAGGGCTAAACTCCTTCTCCTCTGTGGCTGCTCTAGTATCTGGCCCAGATCCTCTGGTGAGGCCAGATGATACAGAGCATAAGTCACAAGTGATTGTGCCAAAGGTAGCTTTAAGCTGCTGCTCTGTGTGGGCCAGTCTGTCAGCACTGTGTCAGTCTAACGTACTCTGGGCTGCAACAATCATGAAGGCACAAAAACACAGGCAATATTTATCACTGCGCCAACCTACTTCTGAAGTATAGACTATCCAACTTCCAAGGGTTCATGTGGAGACTGATTGATGCTGTATCAATATGTGTGTTTGCACTTCACTCAAATTTATGTTCTCACTTCAGAGAGAAATTTATAGAAACTAACATCAGCTTTACCCTCTGAAAAGTGGTGAACATGTGACAGCCCCATCATGAGGCATCAGCAAAGACAGGATATGGGTTGGATATGGGTTTTTAAGCACCAACTCACAGTTCTCTCTCCCTTGATGTAAAGGAGTAACTCCAGCAGCTCGTAGCATTAGTAGGCCGTTATCCTCTATTGGAGTGGATTCTGACTCTGGAAGTCTTCAGGTTAAGACTGGATGCTTTTGTGAAAGGTATATTTTAGCCACACTCAAGTTAATGGGCTTAATACAGGAGAAACTGGATGAAATTCTATGGCCTCCATTATGCAGAAGGTCAGACTAGATGATTTAATGGTTCCTTCTGACCTTCAAATCTATGAATAAGACCCTAGGAAAGGACATGGCACATTAAGTTAGCATGTTACATGCAATATGCTATTATCCCATAATGATCCAGTTTTGCAACATGATTCTCATCCACAGTCAATGGGTCTACATATGGGTACAAAGGAATCAGAATCTGGGCTGAAATTTGTCAGACTTCAAAGGGGGATCTTCAGAAGGAATTTGGAGATATTTTCTGTTTGCTCAAGCATTGCCTTTAAGCTTGCATGGGACACAAAGTCTTACTGAAGTACTCGGACAATGTAACAAATTTTGGACCTAATCCAAAGCTGATTTAACTCAATGGAAACATTCCTATTTACTTCAATGGGTTTGGGATCAGACATTTTGTGTGCTTTCATGAGAAAATGCATGCTGTTTTTAGAAGCCAAAACCCTCTGTTATAAATGAATACATCTAGCTGAGAGTACAGTGTATGTTAGCAAATAGGGGTATCATACTGTAAGGATCTGCGTTGTGGAGGCAATGAAATGGAGAAATTCTCCATCACTAAAATTCATATGAGAACACACTCATTTTTCAAAAGTGCCACAAACTATGGCAACTGTGCTATTAGTTAAAAAGAAAAACCCATCTAATCAATTGTGTGTGTATTCCTCCAAACTAAATAGAAGAATGGAAAATTCCATCTTCATACTTTGGGGGATGGAGGTGGGTCAGTTCCTCTGATTACTGGGTTGGATTTTTTTTTTAAATTAGAAATTGCAAATGGCTGCTTTACATTGAGAATGTTGAGAGCAGCACTGTAAGACTTCTGTCACCCAAAAAGAATGCCTGGGATGCTGTGGAACTGAGTGTCCTGACTGATTGATGGGCTGTCATAAATGTATGTTGATATAGGCTTTTTCTCACCTGGAGTGAACTGACCCATTTGTCAGAATTTTCTGACAGAATTATTCATTAGCTCATAGCTCCAGGAAACGCTGACTTCAAATACCTTGTAATTTATAACAGGTCTGTGAATAATATAGTCTCTGCTTTATGCACAGACTTGAATATTAGCCACTTTTCATTAGTAAGACTTAATATTAAAACAACCCCAGCTAGCCAGTGTTTGCTTAGACTTAACTTATTGAGGCAGGTTAGTTGAAATACAGTTTCAAAAGCACACATGATTTCAGGGCTGAGTAAGTGCTGTTCTCCAGGCTGCTGAAATTTTTGGTCTGAATATAGAAGTTTCCATATTAAACAAGTTAAAACATATTGGCAAATAATAGAGTAATGGACTTGTGAAGCCAAAGGCTGTAGGGCTGAATGGAAATTTTTCAGCAAAAGGTGTGTGCTTTTTTTTGGTTGGAAAATGCTGATTCTTCTAAATCAAAACTGAAATGTTGTGTGGAAATGTATTGATTGTGGTTCAACTTTCGTTGGGAAGCTTTCTCGGGTCTAGGATGGAATTTTCTGGAATTTCCCTCTGTGGTTTCTCATGAAAAATTGTGAACATTGTTTTTCGTCCTGATGCAGAATGAAAACAAATTCTGAAAGCTTCCATTTTTGTGTGAAATGGAATTCTTGTTTTCTGGCGAGCCCTAAAAAGCTGTACGCACCCTCCAATTGTAAACACATAATGAAGCAGGAGGGCAGATAGACTGTGGAAGAGCTGTATGTGTATACTCTGAATCCAGGAACCCACAGTTCCTCTCTATGTCAGCATGGAGAGATGATTTGAGGAATGGCCAGCGGATCACTCAGTTTAGGCCAGTCAGCCTTAGGGCATTTAGATCACAATTAGGATCCAGATGTCTAAACAGCCTGTGTAGTCCCAGGTACTCTTATAGTCCATAGGCAGAAGAGCAGAAGCCGCACGGCCATTCCACATCATGCCCACAGGGTTGGAATTCCTGTCCCCTTCCTCCTCATACTTTGCGCAGGGTGAGGGAGCAGCAATTGGGTCTAGAACTTAGTGTTGAACATATGTTGTTTTTGCTTTAATTCTAGTGTCGTTTATATGACCTTCGTGCAGATAGAGAAGTAGCAATTTATTCCAAAGAGAGCATCATTTTTGGAGCTTCTAGCGTGGATTTCTCTCTCAGTGGTGAGATTTGAATTTTGGGGGATATGTAGTTTTTTGCTGTGGGGAGGCATTTAGACTGGGATGCAGCTGAGGTTGTAATGTAATACTTTTTCAGTTTAAATTGAGAACATTTGTTATTACAAACAAGAGCTAAATTAAATATGGAAAGAAATTTTCCATCCATTAAAATATCTTCTTCCTTTGTAAAAGATGTTTTTATTAAGTAATGTAATTGGTTATTTTTTAATGTTATCAACAAATAATATGTGGCTATGAGGTAAAATCCTGGCCCTATTGAAGTCAATGGGAATTTTGCCATTAACTTCAGTGGGGCTAGGATTTCACCCATCATGTTTAAATCCACCTCAAATGCAACTAGAAATAGAATATTGGTCAATTTTTGTATTTAGGGTACATCTATAAATAGTTCATGAAAGGTTAATAAATGATTAATAGATGTTATAAGCATGTTACAGACCTGAGTAGTATATGATATAGGTGCTTATAAGCACATGAGTAGAAGTTGCTGTAGGTGGTTATATAAGCCACAATTGTGAGCAAGATATTGAACTGTTGGACTCTATAACAAGCTATAATAATTGATTAACCATTTATTAAAACATCTATTAATCACTTGGTAACCCTTTATAAACAATTTTATAAACATACCCAGGATATTTTTGTCTGATATTAATTGTTAAAGTGCTCTATTTGCCTTCAGTCTATATCCCTCTTTTGAATTAATCTCTCAGCTGTAACAGTTGAAAGATATTGCATGTTTTTAATAAGTGCAATCATGGAATTTTTAATACTCTTTTAAAAAAGAGGGCTCAAATACCATTACTTTTCAGTTGCAGAAGAGGGCCTCCACTGGTCAGCTATTACTGGCAATTAATATCCATGCAGAGCCATGATACTGACATGTTAAGCATCATTTTCTGTAGCAAAGTGGGCACCCAAAATCTGAGGCTGGACTTGCATGATATTACTTTGGAGTGCATAAAGAGTAATTTAGTCCAATTTAGAATGAACATATACACCTTTGTGTTGAAGCAACATCCTATAGTGCCCATGAAAGTAGAGTGAGGATGGCCTCGTATTTAAGGCATAGGATTGAGTATCAGGAGATCTGACTTCTACTCCTGACTCTGCCTCAAACTTCTTACAAACAGCTTTTGCTTCAGCCAGAAAACCCTCCTTCCTCTCCTTTCATTAACTGTTACTATTTAACCATTTAAGCCATTATTCTGTATAAATGTGATTCTGTTTGCAGGTCGCCTACTATTTGGTGGTTACAATGATTACACCATAAATGTATGGGATGTTCTGAAAGGGTCTCGTGTATCCATTCTGTTTGGTCATGAAAACCGAGTTAGCACCTTACGAGTTTCACCTGATGGAACTGCATTCTGCTCAGGATCATGGGATCACACTCTACGAGTAAGGGATTTTTCTTTCCAAAAATACAGGGATTTCCATTGGTAAATTCATTATAGAAAATGTCCAGGGGATGGAATATGAAACCAGTTGTTTCAAAGAAATGAAAGCCCAGTAACATCATGGCTACTGCTGCAAACAGTGGATAACGCCTAAATATTTCCCCAGGTCAGGAATATATTCACCATTAAAAGAAAGTGTTAGCAGAACATTATCACTAAACAATTATATAGTGGGAAATTATGAAATTATCAGTTAAAGTAACTGCTCCACCCTCAACTCTTTACCATTAACATCATTTACAAGTTCCAAGAAAAGAATTAGGCTCTCATGCAAATTAACCAGCTTTTGTATAAAACCTATGTGTTTGTATGGAATATAAACTATAATTCTCTAAAGAATTGTTCGACTTTTATCTCTACAGGTCTGGGCGTAAGCCGCAATGCTGTTTTCAAATACAAATGAAGATTGAAACCTTGGGCTACAAAAAAAAAAAAAAGGAAATTTCAATCTGCAAATGTGAAATGTCCTTTAGAAAGATGTAGCATTTCTATTGTAGTTTCCATGACTTATTGATGAGTTGCAAATCAAAATAAAACAAACACAAAAAACAAGCTAGGACAACTTGTTAGCCAGGAATAAATTCAGTATATTAGCTACACTATCAAATGTTGTTACTGAAAACACAAATAAACACAACTAGATAGTAAAGGTAATCTGCTTTTAACATATAGCAAACATCAACTTGTAGTAAAATAAAATGTTTTTAATTCTGTTTTTGAGACTACCTTCTTTTATTAGAGATAGTTTAGATCATTCTAAAGCCAGACTTTTCTCTGAAATCATCTGTATCATAGAATTTTGTAGTCCAGTGCACATTATGTATTTATTATTTGCAAGAATTGATTTTTTTAAAGTAAATTTGAAAAAAATAAAATAAACCAGACACCTTATTTTATCTGGGTATCGTCTATGACTTTTGAAACATTCTGTAGTAGTGCATTGAATTTTGATGTGAAAAGTTAGAAAGCAAATCCGCTTTCTGATACTTCACTTTATGATGGAGTTACAGATGATTCCACAATGGTAATAATTTGGGAGCAAAGAATCTAATGTTGAAGATACTAGCTGTCATAAAAAGTATATTTTCTTGTTTAAAAAAAGTCATTCCAATCTTTTTTTTCTTATATCCTTTTTGATGAAATTAACTATTTCACCTCTGACCTGAATTTAAAGAATTCAATTAAACTCCTAAAGATAAGCTACAAAGACGAGTAGTATAATTCATGGTTTACATAGTCACAAGGTAATATTTTAACCAGTAGTTTCATAGATATTTTTAATTGTATCACTTGGTGAGTGAATTTTCTTTGAATTAAAGAGATACTACTTCTAAGCACTAATAATGATAGTGATAATAACATCTTTTCAAGTCAGCCATACTCATTCTCTGATCCTGGTTCTCATTTAAACTAAGGCCACTTTATACCATTCTAGCTATGGAAAGCAGCCTTAACATGCTATAAATGTAATCTATTTCAGTGTTAAGGCCCCTTTACAATGTCAGAGCAGCATAAAGTGTCTTTAGTGTAAATGAGAATCAGACTCTCTGAGCTGAATTCCACAGTCCTTCCATTGACAAAGCTCCCACTGAAGGTAGTAATGTTTTATCCTAGTAGGACTGTAGGATCAGAGCCTATATGGAGAATGCACAAAAGTGAAAATTGGGAATGTTTTTTAAGAGCCCAATCATGCCAACAGTTGTTACAGCCCTACTGCTTACTACAGTGAGTCAAGTCAATGGGACTTCTCATCCAACAATGTCTAGCAGCAAATGTTTGCAGGATATTGGCCCTATGGGTGAAAGTTGTCATGTAATATACAATGGCTGTGCCCATACAGATCCAATGATATATATAGAGCTGTAGCTGTACTCATATATTGAAAACTATTAAGGGCCAGACTGGGCCTTCTTTGCTCATACTGAATGGTACTTTACTGCTAAAATAGTCCCATTGCATTGGATGGATGTATTTGAGGAGTAAGGCACTACTCATTGTGAGTGAGGGTAGTACAGTCAGGCTCTCAAAATGTAATGAATAAGGTACATCTCTGAAAAGATGAAAGGTAAATTTTATATTTAGATTCAATCAAGAGTAAACAATTGGTTCTTGGGGTTGGTAGTTCACACTAAAATATCGATAACTTCAATTTAAAAAGTGATTTTTTTTAAATTGAGTGTATAATATTTGTATTTGAAACAAAGTCTCCTCATTCATGAATACATCTAGTTCCATAAATCCAGAACGAATTAATTTAGGACATTGACACAATCATTCACTTTACTTGGAGAAGATCAGCCTTCGCTCATTGTTGAAATAGTTCATTTGTTCCTGCTTGGAAACGTCCGCTCCAATGCTTTGCAATATTTGTGGCAAATTATCCCTGTAACAAAATGAATGCACTATGGAAATTGTACTATGTCATCTGGAGCTCATTGTGCAATATTGAGTTACTATACTGTATGCATTTGTTCAAAAGATTAATATTAATGTTTAGATAATATGTATTGGTAAGATATTTGTTTTTGAACATACATTGTGTTGATACTTATGAATGGTCTAAATATAATAAATCATATTTTACATATTGAGAAAATGTGTATTTATAGTCATCTATCACATAAATTAGATGCTTTTGATTACACTATTGTTTCCACTCCTTGGCATATGCTCATGGCACCAAGGACTTTGCTCTGTAACCAACTGCTCATTTGTCCTACGAAGGACCTGATACAGTCAATCTGAATATGCTAGAAAGTTTGTGTTCCTTGCCTTGTGGAAAGAGCCCTAGTGAGCAAAGGCAATGCTGCGGAGACAGATCTCACATCATATCTGCTAATTCCTCCATCCCTTTGGCAAGGAAAAAGGAGAGAACTGCTGGAGGATGAGTTAGGTCCCAGAGGACTGGAGAAGGGCAAACATAGTACCTATCTTTAAAAAGGGAAACAGGACATGGGGTATTATAGACCAATACCCGGAAGGACACTGGAACAAATTATTAAACAATGAATTTGTGAGCACCTAGAGGATAATAGGAGTTATAAGGAATAGCCAGCATGGATTTGTTAAGAAGAAATCATGGAAAACCAATCTAACTTCCTTCTTTGACAGGATTACTGGCCTAACCAGTGGATGGGGAGGGGAGCAGTAGATGTGAGAGATCTTGATTTTAGTAAGGTTTTTGACACAATCCTACATGATATTCTCATAAGCAAATTAAGGAAATGTGATCTAGATGAGATTACTATAAGAGGAGTGCCAACTGGTTGAAAGACTGTACTCAAAGAGTAGTTAGCAATGGTTTGCTGTCAAACCAGGAGAGTGTATCTAGTGGGGTCCTGCAAGGGTCAGTCCTGGGTCCAGTACTATTCAATATTTTCATTAATAATTTGTATAATGGAGTGGAAAGTACGCTTATAAAATTTGCAGATGGCACCAAGCTGGAAGGGTTTACAAGCACTTTGGAGGACAGTATTAGAATTCAAAATTACCTTGACCAATTGGAGAATTTATCTGTGTTCAACAAGTTGAAATTCAATAGCGAAAGTGCAAACTATTTCACGTAGGAAGGAAAAAATCAAATGCACAACTACAAAATGGGGAAACTGGCTAAGAGGAAGTACTGCTGAAAAGACTCTGGGGGTTATAGTGGATCACAAATTGAATATGAGTCAACAATGTGATGCAGTTGCGAAAAAGTAGAATATCCTCCTAGGGTGTATTAACAGGAGTGTTGTATGTAAGACACAGCTGGTAATTGTCTCTCTATTCTGCATTGGAGAGGCATCAAATGGAGTACTGTGTCCAGTTCTGGGTACAACACTTTAGGAAAGATGTGGGCAAATTGGAGAGAGTCCAAAGGAAAGCAAAAATGATAAAAAGGTTTAGAAAAACTGACCTATGAGGAAAGGTTTAAAAAAAAAAAAACCTGGGTATGTTTAGTCTTGAGACAAGAAGACTGGGGGGAGGGGACCTGATAATAGTCTTGAAATATTTTGAAGGCTTTTCTAAAGAGGACTGTGATCAATTGTTTTGTATGTCCACTGCAGGTGGATGAGCAGTAATGAGCTTCATCTGCAGCAAGAGATTTAGGTTAAATATTAGGAAAAACTTTGTAACGATACATATATAATACCACTTAGATCTGTAATAACATAAGCAGAAGTATTCACCCTTGGGGAGCAGTGGTAAATGAGATACAATGCAGAGGGACTGAGCAGGCTGACCATAAACAAGTTCAAAGTACTGAGTATAAAAGGGAAGCTACATCAAGGGCCAATTCACTGTCAAACATCCATTGCTTCGTTCTGTTAAACAAAATTAATGTATAAACAGGAAGGGAGGAACAGGAATATGCTAGAGAAGTAGTTACTGGATATCTCTCTTGCCATGGGAAATGCCATAGCAAATTCCTGCTGGAAGATTTACAATCACAGGGAAAAGCTCTGATTTAAACAATTTTATGCGGTTGCCCTAGTGAAAAGAAAACGGTAACATCCCAGGTTTCTTATCCAAAACTTAACTCATAAGCCCAAGTTAAATTTCCCTGGTAAAAAATCAATTACCTTATATGGGGTTGTTACACTGAATTTGCCCTGACAATGAACCCAGGAGAACAGGCCAGTTCTTGATAGTGATCTAACCACAACAAGCTGCAATAGGATTGATTCCAAATATCTATATCTTTAGACTATTTCTGAGTAGATTTGCCGTTCATAAAAAGTAATGTAGTCTTCAAGATGGAAGACTTCCCTTTTGCACAGGACAGGTACAGCAAAGACAGCAACATTAGCTGCTCTATAATGGGTCTTGATCCTATTCTAAAGGGTTCATCTCTAGGAGTGAGAGGGCACTTCAATGTACATCCCAGTCAGTTACTCTTATTGGCCTTTTTGCTGAGATTACCACTTATCAACAATAGTGATGTTGGACACCTGGACTGCCACCAACTCCATTCTCATGAGCCACCAGAGAGCCAGTTATTTTGATCATCACCAGCCTGGGCTGGAGTTGAACTCATGACCTCACAGTGAAAGGTACTCAATCCTCCTTCCAATTCTCCAGGAATCCAGTTGCTCTGATTTGAAGACTGGCTAATGAGCAGACTTTTGTATATATTGAGTCTTCTCTGCCTCCCTCTCCCCCGGCTATATGCTGCACTGTATAGCCACTAACCCAATGCACTACTTTTATTTTAATCTGGCCTAAAAATAGATACTTGAAAAGCACCTCTGAATTTGGCCCAGCGGCTCTCATAAAAGAAATGACTCTGAGCTCTAAATTTTGTATGAGTTTTAGCCACCAGCCCACGTAAAAGAAAATGTCATTGTGTTGTTTTGGTAAATGCAAAACCCAGACAGCCAATATTCCTTTGTGCACCTGCAATTCCCATTGATTTAAATGGCAGTTTTGGCTAGGCAGGATTGGACCAGTAATG